TACAGGACTTGTTGTAGCATAATCCAGAGTCAATTGGAACAGAGTACTACATTTAAAAAGTTCATTCGATAGCCAAAGATAGATGAATCCCCATCATCTAACATGCAATACAGAACCAGCTGAATGAGAAACAGCAGCTGTGTTTGTGAACATAACTGATTATAAAGGCAATTCACTTACTCTGATACCGTAAATTCACAGTAAGTCCTTTATTTTTTCAGGAAATGAATTTGATATTTCCAGTTTAAATTAACTAAATTCCTTTTATGCTTCAGATTCAGTTATAGATTTTAAAGTCAGTCTTTAATAGTGTTTATAGTAATAGGACTACAATAGAATCAATGAAGCAAATGGGGTACCTCTCGGACACTTCTTTGAAAAATGAATGCAACAAGCAGTACTGTGCAAGACACTATTTTCTTTAGTATCTTTAGTAATATCATGCCAAGCAGAGGCCAAAGTCATTGACAGAAAATATGGTTACTGAGAAACCAAGCAGCCATAATAAAGAGAATTCATCTATATTGATCTCCTGGCTAATACAGGCCAAGGGGACTTTCCTGAATGAATTCACATCGAAACCAAACCAGAACATATCTTTTAGAAAAACATCCAATCTGGATTTTAAAAATTGCAATTAAAGGAATGATTCCTCATAACATTGGGGGCATAAGCTTTAGTAGTACTAGAAAACTATTCAAGATGGGGAGCACTGACATGGAGAAAAACAACCATGGCCAACTGAGTGCAGTGATGGATTTAATAGATTTCGTAGACATTACGGGCTGGAAGGGACTTCATGAGATCATCACGTCCAGCCCCCCTACCATAGGCAGAAAGTCTGCTGGGGTCAAATGATCCCAGCAAGAAAACCATCCAGACACCTTCTGAACGAGTCCAGAGTAGGTGCTTGCACCACCTCTGGGGGGAGTCTATTCCAAACCCCAGGCACACGGATTGTAAAGTTTTTTTTTTTTTATGTCCAGTCTAAAATCAGCCTTCCAGGAGTTTGTGGCCATTAGACCTTTTTATCCCTTGGGGAGCCATGGTGAACAACTGTTCTCCCAGATCCTGATGCACCCCCCTTAT